ATATATATATATATATAGATTAGATCGATAGATAGATAGATAGGTAGGTAGGTAGGTAGGTAGAAAGATAGATAGAGAGATAGATATATGTGTATAATATGTGTGTGTATATATATATATATAATCAACAGAATTTTTTGAATAGATTAAATATTTTGCTTGTTTATTTATTAGCTTTCTTAGTTCTATTACTATTACTAACCTTTAGCCTTTAGCAGTAGAATGACTGATGGTTTCAGGGTTTCCGGCTCTGAGGAAACAAGCTTCATGCCCGCATGACCAAGATGCATAACATCATTCTCGTATCCTTTATTGTGTGCACCCGTCCCAGTTCTGGGCATGTAGGATTCGCCCATATTCACCCCCCAGCGCTGGAATGGCCCCATAATCCAAGAATCCTAGGCGATCCCAGATTCTAGACGCAGCAAAATATCAACACGATTCAGTCCATCCTGAGTCTCGAAGATTCCATGCTTGCAGCAAGAGCAAGCGTTCGCACAATGCTACCACGAGCGAAGAGCTGCGGCAGCCGAAGTGGCTTGAGCCTCCTCCGCAGTTCGAGTGCAGGCCTCGGGCATCCTCGCCACACGCAAGACGGCAATGGTGGCATCGCCATTGGACCTGGGAGGCCTCTGGTCGGAAGAGGATCTGCTTGCTGCTGGTCTTGCACGCCCGCTGGCGGCGCTGCGCTTCTTGCCCTGGGCTGCAGTGCAGGGCGTGCCAGGCGTCCGGCTGGTGGCCTCGCGAGTGGGGCTGTTGTGCTCAACGCAACACTAGATCGTGCACCCATCCTGTACCTCTCGGATCCCTGCTCTTGGACCCAGCTTGCCGAGCGGAGGGACGGCTGGATGTGTGGGGATGACGAGTGCTTGGTGGATGAAGAGGTAGATGGGAAGCACGCCAACATGGCCGATGCACCTACAGCTGCAAGAGAGGTTGCCGATGCCATGAACAACGCTGCACCTGATCTTCGGGACATCCCTATTTGCCTTTCCAGTGAAAGCAGCGATGGTGGTGAGATCATAGTAATAGGCAATCCTGGTCCCGATCCGAAGAAGGCCTGCCTCAAAGCATTAGGCATCCGCAAGATGTGCGAAGACGAGACCATCGGTGAGAAAACTGATTCAGATCCAGAGCTGATCGGCGTGTGGGCGACGGCATTTGTGGAGACGTTAAACACGACGGGCAAACTCAAGAACGGTTTCAATGATGATGATCCTGAGGAGGAGGAGGACGAGGAGGAGGAGGATCTGGAGGAGGCAGGCAACCAGAAGCAGATTGTAGCGCTTACCGAAATCATGAATGAACAACTCCAGAAGCATTTCCTTTTCAATTTCACCGATGAAATTGTCACGGCTCCTGTGATCTACGGCGGATATGCCAGTGACGGCTCCATAGTTGGCGTGCTTTCGTCGCGCGTGTGGACATGATGCAGGCACGAAGGCTTGATGTGTTGGGAACTGGAGTTTCTGCGACAGTAAAAAGCCTTGAAGCTTTTCCAGCACGGCAACCCATAATCGATTGCCATTGTGTCGCGACATATGCTCTCCGGGAAGGTATGTCCCGCCAGCAATGACCGAATGCCTACAACCTTGAGAAAGTGTTTGAAGACTTTCGCTACACCCTGTATATACCACCATACAAAACGGTTGCAGTGATATAGGGGTCTGAATACTCAGTATTACTATTCCGTTGGGACGTGCCCGAATAGGGCTCTGCTGTCCAAGAATGAACAGGAACAGGATTACAGTTCCCTTATTGCTCCGTTGTACTGTAATGTAGTGTCAAGGAACCCAAAACCCTTCTTAGTATCAAGGCCCCTACGCTGAACCCGTGTAGGGCCCTTATAGAACCATTCATAAAGGAACCCCCTCCATGCTTATGGCCACTGTGCGTGCCTGATAGCCGCCTTTTGCCTTGCAAACCCTAAGCCCTAAAGGACGTAACCTGCCATGCCTGCGCGAGCGAGTGTGTGAGTCGAAACCCTACCCTAAGCCCAAAACCTCGAACGTGGAAGTTGGATCCCAAGCCCTGAAAAGCCAGAAAGCCGAAACCTTCACTGTCAGCAGATCGGAAAGGGCCTCAACACAAACGACCTAAGAGCCCTAAGCCGTAACCGCAGCCTTTAAGCCATACCCTAGGGCTCCAGTTACTTCAATCATGGGTTTACTGGGCACATGGTTTTTTCAAATTAGCTTCCTATCTGATTATCTATGTCACGGGAGCCCTGGGGAGGCACAAGACTCTAAAACTTATCAAAATTAAAATTCTAACACCTCAGCCCTGTAGAACCTAAGCCCTTCAAATGAACTTATACCCATACAACGCTCTACAAAACCCGTTTATCAGAACCCTCATAACCCCTTATATAAACCTCCCCTAAACCCTTCGCAAAGGCTTCTAGGAGCCCTCATAGACCCCTTTGGAAAAAAACCCTTTAAAACACACGAAACCCTAAAGTCTTAAAGGACCCCTTAGGAACCCTCACTTCAACCTCAGTTCTAATCCCTTAAAGGAACCCTGAGGAACTTTCGTTTCATCCTAAATCCGACCCTAAACCCTGGAAGGGGCCCCTAGGAACCTTCATGTTAAGCCGGTTATTTAAGAACCCAAGGGTCGACGCCCGGTGCCAAGGAGGAGGGACTTCCGAGCGCGCCCAACGCGCCTTCTGAGCCCACGGTCACGGACTTCGCTGGGATCCTCCTGGCGGAGCCCCGGGGTCCCTTTTTGGGTTCCTTTAGAGGGTTAGAATGAGGGTTCCTCGGTTTAGGGTTTAGGGCTTTGTGCTTTAAACTGTTTCTTTGAAGGGTTGAAATGAGGGTTCCTAGGGATCCGTGAAGGGTTTAGGGTGCTTCAACGGGTGTCTTAACGGGTTCTATGCAGCGGGTTGCTAGGCGTCCTTTGGGGGCTCGTGTACTCTACGGGTTGGAACTTTCAAGGGCTCTATGACGGTTCGGAACAATGAGGGTTCCCATGTAGGGTTCCTGTACGAGGAGTTCCTTAAAGATCCGGTGTTTATAAGGTTTACAGCGTCTAAGGACAATTTAAGCGGGTGAATTAGGGCAAGTTAGGGCTTAGGGTTTGTGGCCGCTTGTTTAGGGGTTCCTTTTAACGGTCCTACAAGGGGGGTGCCTTCAAAGGGAGCGGGTTTCCTTTCGAGGGCTTTACAGGGGTTCCTCTAGATTTAAGCCAAGAAATAGAGACACAAATGGAGACTCTAGGTGGTGAAAAAAGGGTATGCATAAGGGTGAGAGCATAAGGGTTCTGCATGGGTTAGTCTTGGGGGGCTCCGAGGTTGCTTATAGGCAGAGTTGAGCGCGGAAGTTGTGAGGATCTTAGAACTTATAGGGCCTAGGTTCGGGGCACCTCAAACTACTGTAACCTACTTGTTCGCAGGGTCCCTACAGATCTATGTTAGGGTTCATAGAAGAAGAATCGAAAAAGGAGGCTATGGCAGTTTAAGATAAAACCTAAGCCCTAAACCCGGTAATTGTACTTGTCAAACCTCAGCCACGTAGCTATACTGACTGCCTCTGCCCAGCCAAAGTTAGGGCTCCTCGGCCTACTTTTTTTGGGGGCTCTGAACTTCGAAGGGTTGAGCTCCTCCGGGTGTTGTTTGTGCTTTGGGGCGTTTACGATTGGGGTTTGGAGCTCATGGTTTCGAGTTGAGGGTTCCGGGTGTATGGTGATTCTGAGGAGCTGTCGAGCTTCTCAGCTCGAGCCATCAAGGATGCGACGCAGATGGCACCCTGCCGTTAGAGATGAAGGTGTCCACCTCATGTTTAATCCTACGAGTTTCAGGTTCGGGCTCTGGACTTTGTAGGGGCTTACCATGTGGCGCTAAGTTTCTTTCGAACGACACAGCTAGCCACAATGAACCCGCTGTTCAATGACAGGTGTGAGGGTTCTATAGGCAGCTCATCAGATCATCAGAGATTCCTGGGTTCATGCTCAGGGTTCGTGTGGCGATTCACGCTCACAGGGAAGCAAGGCTAGCAGGACTTCTGCTGGCATTTGTTGCGCATTGATTGCGAGGTCAATCAGATTGAAGTGTCGATCGCGCCCTACACCAGCCTCTCCAAAGCAAGTTTGGACCGTCGGGTGTGTGATGCAGGAAGCGACAGAGCAACAGAAAGAGAGAGAGAGAGAGGGAGCACATGTGTACATCACACATAGAGAGGGAAAGCAGTCCAGCATATCTATACGTATAGACAGACAGTTTTCAATATCGCTGATCCACATCATGTATCCGTGCACAAGCACGCGCGCGATGCATCAACCGTATTCGAGGAACATGAACAAATCGTGGTCAGTACCAGGACTGCACTCGTAGATTTAGTCTGCTGGAAGACCCCCCATGCCGGCAACCAAAAGGTCGCATAAGATGCTGCCATCTCGTGCCGCAGTTTGTATGTATCATAAAAGTGTGTGTATATATCTTGCGAGAGAGAGAGAGAGATAGATGCGCATACAGTATGTGTTAATACACATATACATATATGCATATACATACATGCATACAAACATACATTCTGTATGTACAGGCATATACGCATATATATATATACACATACACATTTGTTTATATGTCAATGTATGAATGCTGTACATAAAGACAATGTTTGCATTGTGTATATATATATGTATATTATTATTATCATTACCAAAGAGAGAGAGAGAGAGATCTATATATATATATACATATACATATAGATATAGTTATAGACATAGATATATAGATATAGATATAGATAGCAGGTTCATAGCCGAGACAGGCTGGGGGTCTTCAGGTTTTGGGTGCGTTTGTTGGGTTTTCCGGGCCATTGGCATGCGAGTTAACGATATTGCCTCGGGCTGGCCTGTACTTCGCTTGGCTATGTCTATGTCCAAGGGTTCCAGTGTCAGGAGGCGTATACAACATCTTCACCCCATCAACAAGCTAGCCATAGCTTGTGTTGAACCGCAGCTGGAATGAAGGACATGCGAACCCCCAAGGCCACGGTCTCATTCTCTCTGGCATTGCTTTGTTCTGAAGGCCTGCTGCGGCCCTGGAAAGAGTGGCATGGCAAGGTAGAGTAAGGGAGCGTCCGAGTCCTGAGATCGCTTAAGACTTGAAATGTCCTTTCACGTTATTGTAGGGCCTGGGCTACGGATTGGAGCCATTGCAGCAGAAATCTCAGGCTTCTGCAGTCGTTTAGGCGATCATTCAACATTCCAAACCGTGGATGTTTGGAGTTATAAGTATAAGTAAGACCAAGCAATAGGATGTCCAAGGCGCTTAGGATGTGTTGGGCACACATTGTTGCCTGAAGCTTGCACATGAGGGTTTGCATTCGGGTGTCGGTGAGTGTATACCGGGCCCCTTGAGTGTATTGGTGAGTGATGGTGTGCGTTTATGTTGAGCGTTGTTTTAGAGTAAACTAGCTAAAAAAAACCTGCGTCATGCCATTTGAACTCCACTTTCCTTGAACCCTCAAACCCTAAACTGTAAGCCTTCATCTCAACACTTGCCTGGCTAGTGTTGGGCCTGACCCGTAAACCCCTACACACTAATTACTAATTGCCTGCCCTGTGCGAGAGTGATCGTCGAAAACCCTATAATGTGGCACTGTCTTTAACCCCCCCCCCCCGTCGTTCCCGGCCTGAACAACAACTATGTTGCCTGTGACCGCCTTGACCTTAGTCCGGGAGCTTGGGTTGGCTTGGGGTCTGGCTGTCTGGCTGGGCTTGACTAACTTATTAGAAGGGTTTTTGGGCGGTCCGGGAGGTCCGAGGGATTTGGGGGTGGGTCCGGGTCTCGGTGGGCTTGGCTAGTTTTGGGGGCTCCGAGGCGTTCTGGGGTTTAGGAGGGTTCGGGGGTTTCGAGGGGCTTGGGGGGTTGGGTTTTGGGTTACAGGTTGAAAAGAAATATAACAAAAACCCGGTCCAAACAGACGAATTTTAGACCTGGCACGAGAATTCACAAAACAATGAACAAGCAAAAACACATCATATCATCGACTCCCACGACACAAAAGCACAGGGCCACACGAAGCCTTACACACCCCACGAGGAACCTGAGCCTGCTGAAAGCTGGCGTTTGCGAGTCGAAACCTGCACCCCAAGGTTTGTCACCATCGAGCTACCAGATCTGGACTCCGATGCCGACTTTCTACAGCGCATCGTGAGACCCTCTGCCTGCATCCAGGGACAGGTTTAGGGTTTCAGGGTTTCGGTTTAGACTTTAAGTCTAGGTCCCTTGGTATCATTAAGTAATCAATTAAGTACACGGTTTCAGGGTTCGAAGGTTTTTTGACACTCAGAGCCCAGCTGCAAAAAAGGGTTTCGAGTTTCGGGACAGCTCGAGCTTTTGCCGTTCTTTGGAGGCTACTACCACTGCACCGAGCACTTCCCAGCACGATGCTTTTGTCTTAAGTTCGTGCCTTTTCAGAAGTGCTGCGCCAAGGGACTTCTTCTTAGGGAGCAGTTCAGGGATTGTTTTAACTATTTCAGTCCTCCACTGTACGAAGGCAAAGGCCATGTAAAGCGATGCCAGGCGTGCCAAAGAGCTGTCCCGAATCCCTCGACTGCCTGTATTAAGGATGAAGCTCACGCCTGCAATTGAGAGGCTGTTTCGACTGGAATTATGTACATAGTTCCGAAAGGTGATCATAACAGTAGCAAGGATTTCTTGTCATTATTCACTTGTGGTCTTGATGCTGTGCTTTATGTTTTTAAGTTTCTCTCCCTCATGCACCATGGCAGTGAACAAAACATGATATATTTCCGTCGTCTCACAGAGACACTCTCGCGGACTTGCTAGCAGGAAACATCGCCTACTTCCAGGCGAACTACCTGATGATAGGCGGACGGGATGGCAAGGGCAAGCTGTGAGACTTCATGAGAAGCTGCTGTCTTAGTAGTTAGAGCAGGCAGCCTCTACCTCCCTGCATACTTCCAAAGTTTGCGGCTTAGTTCCGTTTGGGATAGGGAACAAGTAATAGTAAGCTTCTTTGGGGCTCCGAAACCGGAAGGGGAGCTCCCAGTCTCAAGTACCGGATATATTATTTTTCCGCATTGGGGTTTAGGCTTAGATGACTGTCAGATGTTTAGGCTTTAGGGGTTACGATCCTGCATCAGCGGCAGAAGCTGTTTCGTGAATCACAGACGATTCTCGGATTTCGTGTAGTTCTGCCCACTGCCAGTCCAGGCTTTCAGCGTGCGATGTGATGACAACGCTACCTAGACAAGCTGTGCAAGTCACCACTAAAACACGACAAACATGATTGGATAGTCCCTTTGATCCACGCAGAAAACCGGAGAATCTTTCCAGAAACCCGTGAGGATCTGTGATGTTTGCCATCGCAGTCTACCGCCACACATCCTGGATGCTGGCGGTGGTGCTATTAGTATGCTTCTGGGTGCCTGGGCTTTGAAGTCCTAGGAGAAGACGTTGGCCAACTTTCCTACAGAATGTCGCTGCGATATGTGCGACGCTCTTGACTCTGGGATCTTGGACCTGTTCTGTTCGGCCTTTAGATGAACTCTATATTCTGGTTATAGTATACTAGGGTATACTATAGTATATTATTGTCTTCATGGTGCGACATTCATGTGTGTGGTTTCAGCATGTTTCTGCTCCGTTTCTCAGCACATGCGCTTGAGCACAGATGCGAGCAAAGCAAAATAAATCCAAGACCAAGTTCACAGCCTAAGCTTCCGAGACCACTCGCAAAGCTATCACTAGCCGCTAATTAACACCTGCCGTGATGAGCCAACAGTTTCTCCGCTACAAGTTTGCATCCGTCGCCCAAGCCGTCTGGGCCCCTGCATTGCGAAGCCGGGTGAAGATATCACGCAGCCAAGCTGCCGCTAAACCCTAAACCCAAGATCAGCTCAGGCTTCTTACATTGCGCGCGGGGGCTTCGATCCACAATGGAAACCTGCCTCCAGGCTGTTGCTAATCCATCTGCGACATAGAGCTCAGTTAAAGGCTTTGGGTTTAAAGACATTAAGCTACATAAAACTAAATCTTCAGGGAACTTTCCACACCGGCGAAAACACTACCTACTTCAGTGTCTGATGTCTCCATGAATAGTACCCACTCTCAAACAGCCGGAAGTCCAGCTACGAGCCTTCTTCAAACCACATAGTAGGGCGCGAAGGGTGCCCTTGATGTTAGGGGGGCTACCGAGGAACCTAGTTCAAGAATAGCAGGGTCCGAACAAAAAGCAGAAACAATCAATAGCTCCTAGACCCCCCAACTAACCTCCATTATACCCTACATACCCACTATTAAGCTCCATGAGGGCTCTAGTAAAAGGACACTTGGGGGTCCTGGCTGTTCAAGCCATGAAGCCCAACAGTTTCAGACCGAGGTTGTCTTTGGCACTGAAATCACCGCATCGCATCGGCTTGCGCTGTTGTACGCTGGCATCTTGACAGTGAATAGGCCCCGGCCCCCTTTGGCAATTTCGGTTCAGGGCTTAGGGTTTAGGGTAGGCGGTCCTCTAAACCCCTACTGAAGATATTCATTCGTGATAGCCGGAGCGTCTTGTTTGGGGCACCCCGGGCACCCCTGACACAGACCGCGAGCTTATTATTATTATTGTTATTATTAATATATATATATATGTGTATATTTTTTTGTGAGGGGGTGAGGTTCCTTAACTAGAGTGTATTATACACAAAAGCCCTATAATTAGCGCCGCTATAGTATGGAAGCTCCACACCTTGCTGTAGGATCCACAAGATGCACGACAAGGTGGTTCTGAAGATCTTTTACTTTTCCTACCTGTGGCACAAGTTTAACTTAGCCTGCTATGTTTGTAGTAGAAAAGTTTCCTTGAACAAACAGAGAGGAGTCTTACCAAAAAAATCCATTCCAGGCCCTAGTCCAGACCGCCTGGGGCATGGGAAAGTCCACGACAGACTCCTGCACGACGTCAGGTTCCTTAACGCTGATTTTTGTCGTCTTCGGCCAAGCCTTGTTGGTGCTTCTGGGCATTCTTGGCACGCTTACAGCAAGCCATGACCCCCGGCAGCAAATCCCACGATGCGCGCCTGCTACTCTTAATTAGTCTTGCTATTCCTGGTGTACTCGTGTCTCCGATTTCCAAGGATCCTTATCGATCCTCGTCCTTAACCTGAGGGGTGTGCTTGTGTAGCTTTTGACTCTCCCTATGTTCAAAGTTGCTTGTTTTCCATGTTTTCTGAAAGGCTTCACTTGCAGCACCCTACCTAAATCCCCAGGATTGTATGCGCAAAATGTCAGTTCATTCTGCAGGATACTGCCTAGTGAGGGTCTTCTACATTCCGAAGTCGCCGGTAGTTGCCCGTTTTGAGGGAGTCCCGAAAATAGAGGACCCTACCAAATTCTTGAACACCCCCATTACACCAAGCCCTACGTAAGTTCCTCCCCACTTTAAACATAAGCAAGCCTCTACCCATGAGCTGTTGTTCAGGCACTTGAGCTACCATGATGCCGGGTCTGTGGTGCAATAGTAGTAGTAACAATAGCAATGATGATAATATTTCGATTTGCACTAATAACAAGATTTCCGCGTTATGGTAGCTTGATTTAACTTCCTTCGCAAGAGCCAGAGCAAGCTGCCAAGTCATCAGAGTCCGACTCAGAGATTCCATACTGTTGAAACCTCCACCGACCTCGCGCTTAGGCCGTCGCAAGCCCCATACTGAAGGCAAAAAAACCACTGAAACATCGGCCTAGAGAATCAAGAGTCAGCATTCAGGGTTACGAGGGTTCAGGGCTTAGACTTTTGGATCATATTAATTTAAGTGCTCTTAATGCAGCCACCAACTTCGTCGAACAGTGGGTATCGCAGCTTGCGACACCTGATGGTTGACCACGAATGACTCCTTGGGCCACTACCACCCAGCCTGGTGCTGTTGTTGTTGCTGTTGCT